TCCCTATTCCCATCCCTCCCCCATTTCCATCATCGACTCTTTTTTTTTTTTTTTAATGGCTCTTGTCTCCCTCTTGTTGACTCTTATAATTACATTTGGGCTAATAAGATTATTCAGATAACCAAAATAAGATGTGTCTCCAGATCCTTAACTGGATCACATTTACAAAGTTCATTTCCAATATTTACAAGTCCTAAGGATTAGAACGTTAGCATCTTTTGGATGGCCATCATCCTGACTTCCCAAGAGAAGCCTGATGCTACCTCTTCAGAGCAAAGGAAGTAAAGGAATGACTTCTGTGCTACCTAAGGGTCAAAGTTTGAGAGTCAAGTCTGCGGGGAGGCTGGGCACACTCTCTCTGCCGGGAACAAGATTGTTGTTTGCTGTGTTTGGTTTGTTTTTCTTACCAGCACTGGGAATTGAACCTTAGGACTTCTTGAATGCAAGTCAAGCACTCTTTCACTGACCTATATTTCCTAGAGCAGTGGTTCTCAACATGTGGGTCACACCCCTTTGGGGGGGGGGTCACATATCAGATATTTACATCCTACATATCAGATAGTTACATTATGATTCATATCAGTAGCAAAATTGCAGTTATGAAGTAGCAACGAAAATAATTTTATGGTGTGGGGGGGGGGGGTCACCAGAGCATGAGGAACCATGTTAAAGGGTCGAGGCATGAGGAAGGTTGAGAACCACTGGTCTAGAGACTCCCTTTCTCCCTCCCCCACCTCCCTCTTCCTTTCTCCCTCCCTCTCAGAGAGGGAGTTAAGTCACACAAGCTGGCCTTGAACTCAAGACTCACTAGCTCAGCAGGGTCTTCTTGGTGGTGTTTTCATTTTTTTCCTTTGGTATTTTTTAATTCAGGAAACAAAACAAAAAAAAATGCCCAAGAGAATCAGATAAGCTTGGAGTTCCACAGAACTCCAGAGACCAGCGACCGCTGGGAATAGGTTACCATGGACAAGAACTAGAGTTTTCCATTCCTTTTTCTAGCGGGACCGAAGCTATGAAGTTTACATTGCTGGGGCCCCTGGCCTGGGCCCCACATATAGATGCTCGCTGACTCTCCTGCTAGCTCTGCTCTCAACACATTGTTTCGTGCTTACCTTTTCTGTTTTCTTTTGGATTTGGGGGCGGGTGTTGAGAGGGGTGGTTAAGGCAAAGTCTCTGTAGTTGCCAAGGCTGGCCTCAAACTCAGGTCAGCCCTCCAACCTCAGCCTCCTGAGGGCTGGGATTACTGGCTTGTACCATACTGTCTAGCTTTCAGTTGTCTCTCAATTCGCCCACGTACCAGTGTGCCTGGCCCTGGCAGACCCTGTGTGGACAGGCGATGGGGTGGATAGAAACCGTTACATTTTGAGCTATAGAGCCCCTGGTCCCCATCTCCATGTGGCTCTCCTGAAGCCGCTGTATTCCAGGTGTGCAGAATCCGGGGTCTAGCTGCACAGAGACAGAGAGAACGTAGTCACTGGCAGCAGGAAGGGGCGCTGAGTGGCAGATGGGCAGCACCAGGCCCTCCTACGCAGGAAGGCCTTGGCAAACACCCAGCAAGTATTGCCTTCACTCTCTGACCTTTCCTCTCTGGTTGGAGGCTCAAGTTTCAGCGGCTGTGAGGGAAGCTGTTCTGCCGTACCAGGAGACTCAAAGTCCCCTCTCTCCTCTCAGTCACGTGCGGTGATGGCCCAACCGTAGGGTGAAGGGTAAGCCTTGGACCTGGGGCATCGTTCTGGGAGATTAGGGGGCACGGGCAATCGCCCAACCCTGCTACTCCTCAGCATCTGTCTTACTTCTGAACGATCTCTTTGACACCGGAAGGTTAAATATTAGTCAGCGTCTGAGTCCTTGTGAAGAGCTGGCGGTGACAGAAGACACTGAACAACAAGACGACATGACCAAACACCCGCCCTCTGGTCACCTCGGTCACACCGAGTCTCGTAAAGAGGATTTTATGTTTTCTGTTCTAGCACTCGGGGAGGAGGCGCTGCTGTGAATCCATCCTGCTCTGCCTTCTCTCAAGTGCTTTCCGGTCACCCCTCCGCCCTGCCTTCGCCTCCCCTTGCTGGAAGATGCTTTTGTTCTGGGGAGGTTGAGGGATCAAGGCACAAGCCCTTACCTTGGAATCCTTACCCATCCCTAAGCCACGTGGGGTTTGTTTTCTAGTCTTCTTTTTATAAGTCTGTCTCCTTCACCCCTGATTCATCACTGCTGCCGCCGCCTGGGTTTCTGGGTATGGGACACCTGGCCTTGTACCCAGCGTATCTCAGGGCCCTGGGGAGAAGATGAGGTCACGGTCAAGTTGTTTAGAGTGGTTCGGGTTGGATTATCACCAGGCACGTGACTCTGAAATCCTTACTGAATTGAGTAAGATAACCAAATGTGTATTTATCAAGATCTCTGTCCATCTGGAACATTCTAGTATTTACAAAATGTTCTCCCTGTTCAGGCACTTAAAATCTTCCAGGAACATGTTTTGACTCTCCTGCTATGGTAGCGGGCTGGCTAACACTCTTGCATGAGGAATCAAGAGTTTCTACTCTCAAGAGTCAGACTTGCAGTTACTCTTTCAATGCTATAAAAACAACTAGGGATTGTCTCAATTAATGAAATTCTAAGGGAACAGGGAAGAATGGTATGTGCTGTGGAATTCGGAATGAGATTGCAGAGCTAATGGATTATGGCATTTCTTCCTTTATTAAATATGTGTTGTGCATCTGCTATTTGTAAGCACCAATGATAGGTATGCTTGGGAGTTAAAGATGTGAAAAAGATAAAAAAGAAACAGAGCGGCAGCCCTGGCTAACCCAGCACTTGATATGTACTCTAGGGTAGCCTTGAACTCAGAGCAGTCCCCCTGCCTCAGATAACTTTAATATGAATAGGTACCACAAGGAGATATAAGCAAAATGGTGTGGGACTGCTCCATCCAGGAACGGTCTATAAGATGTGACTGATGCAGCTTCCCTTGCAGGCATGCTGTTGGGAATCGATAAAATTACAAAGCTTCGTGGAACAGGTGGGTCTGGAAAGGTGGGAAGAGTCTGCCGGCTCCAGATAATGCAGGGAAGAAGATCACAGCCAGCCAGCTGGTCATGCAGGACCTTCCTGCTGTGCTGACGTGTCCCCAGATCCAGCAGGGTTGGGAAACACTTGGAAAATAGGAGTCCACTTAAGGATAAGGTGTTGCTGTAATTAACATTCAAGTGAAGTCAGAGGCCTTGGGAGGTATGAAAGACGGAGTAGTACCTGGCCTTTACAGCGCTGTGTGTAACTTTTGAGTGCTGGAGAGTATCCTGATCACTAGTTCAGGAAAAAGAGAGCCAGGAAGATTTTTTTTTTTCCCCTTGTTCTCAAGTACTTTGCAGCAATCTGGAAATCAGGCGTGGTTGCCCACAGCTTTACTCCCAGCACTCTGGAGGCAGAGGCAGGCGGATCTCTGTGTGTTCGAGGCCAGCCTGGTCTACAGAGCGAGTTCTAGGACAGCCAGGGCTGTTACACAGAGAAACTCTGTCTCCAAAAACAAAACAAAAAGAGAGCAATGATGGAGAAACTACAGTGAAAACTTCTATTTTCATGTTTAGATTTTCATCACATTGTAGGGAAACTGCCTGTTCAACAGTTTGTCTCTGCTGTTTTCTAATTCTTTCTTTTTTTTCCTGAGACAGGGTTTCTTTGTGTAACTTTGGAGCCTGTCCTGGAACTCGCTCTGTAGCCCAGGCTGGCTTTGAACTCACAGAGATCCGCCTGGCTCTGTCTCCCCAGTGCTGGGATTAAGGGCGTGCGACGCCACCGCCTGGCTTGTTTTCTATTTTTTAGGCAGAAAGATGACAGATGCCTATCGTTTACCTTTCTGTTTGGTTAGCATTGTATTCGTTTATACATATATAAAAATTATCTGCCACCCTGTCCAGCTCTTTGCAAGTTTGGGGGCCTTGGAGGGGTCAGTTCATTGACAGAGTTTAGCGTTTGGAGACAGGGTATCATACTATAGCCTAGGCTAGCCCAAACTCATTATGTAAGCCAGGCTGACCTGGGAACTCTCAGCGATTCTGCATCATCTCCTGTTGGGATTACAGGCCTGGGCTCCATACCTGGTTTCTTTGTAAGTAGTTTTAGATACATAGTAACCCCAAACTGGCAGTACCTGAATATCTATCAGAATGGAAAAGCAACCTTGTATCTATTATAATGAAATAAATAGTACCTAACAATGAGAACAAATTTAACACTGTTAACACAGAACAAAATGAGTGGATCTCAGTGTAAGAAGTCAGATCCAAAAGCCTACAGATTTTATAATACTGTTTGTGTGACATTTTGGAATAAAAATTGTGTTAGTGGTTACCAGTGCCGGGGACGAGGATGAATGAGTTCCAAGAAGCCGAAAACACAGGCACAGTTTTAGAACCTTGGGAATATCGAGTGTGATAATAACCATTATCACAATTCATTTGTCAAATCTCAACAAAATGTACTTACTCTTTAAGAAGGTGAATTTTAAGCTGGCTGTGGTGACACAAATCTGTAATTCAGACACTTCAAGAGGAGGCTGAGGCAGGAGGGCACACATTTTTTTTTTTTGTTGTTATTGTTGCTTGTTGCTTTAAGGTGAATTTTATACTTTAATAAACCTAATAAACAAGACTCCCTAACCCTCTCTTGCCCCAGAACCAGGCTCAGTAAGGCAATATCCAAGATTGTAATAGCGGCTCAGGTTTCCCCCATGAACAGATCATAACTGGAATCCTAAGTCCATTCTGTACCCTGATCGTGAATAAGTCTCCTCCTGAGTCAGTGCCCACACGTCCCTGCCTGTCTGGCTTCTGGCACTGGACGAGGAATGCATGCTCTGACCAAGCTCTAATTTGGGGCATGTAATCCCCATTGTAACCTATTAAGCGAGCCAAAGCTTCTGGTCACTGGGGCTGTGGGTGTGAGTTGGGAGGCAGGAGCAGTGTGTCCTGCAGCCTCTGAGGGCTCGTCTGGTGTCGTTTCAGTGCTCCTCACGTGGGTCAACTGCTCCAGTGTCCGATGGGCCACCCGGGTTCAAGACATCTTCACAGCTGGGAAGCTCCTGGCCCTGGCCCTGATCATCATCATGGGTGTCGTGCAGATATGCAAAGGTAAATGTCGTGGGAACCACAGGACTCCTCCGCACAGCTCTTCACCCCTCGTCTAGACACACCCTGAGATTCCCCCGGTGTGACTTAGACTGACTTCTGCTGCCCGTTTCCTTGACCACGGGGATGAGAAACTTTTCCTCGGTGTTAGGGATGCCCCACCTCCACTCCCATACTCCATCTTGCAAAGATCCGTCTCTCCACACTTGCCTCAGGACTAACACAGCTAAGCAAGGGCCCCAGGGTGCTTGCTGAACTCAGTGGATATTTTGCTACAACCCTAGGGAAGTAGTTCCTTACATTTTTTTTTTTTTGTGTGTGTGTGTGTGTGTGCTTTGTTAATATCTTAAAATGAAGAAGCGAAGAGGAGAATTTTATATATTTCGATATTACTCATAATCTCCCGGGGTGGCGGAGGGAGAGCGCTACATTCTTGAGGCCTCTGCCAACATTCCCCATTGGATTTGATCTGTATTTGGTTTCCATGGGACCCACAGCACTGCCAGGCTCTGCTCGGCAGCGGCCGGCATCACTGCCTCTTGGAGAAAATGAAATGACAAACAGGAAGACCTCCTGTCTGCCCACAAGCTCTGAAGGCAGAGGGGAGAGGCTGCAGACAAGAGTCTGTGCTGGATACTGCCTTCATGGTTTTCATCAGCCGGATTAAGCCCTTTGTGTGGGGGCAGTGGTGATAATGTTTTCAGGAATTCCTAGGCTTAGGAAACATTGTCCGATCTTTTCAAAGATAATGAATCCTTCCTAACCTGATCTCAATTCTTTCTCCTGCTCACACAAATCTCCTGATTTCCTGTCCTAATGCTGGGTTACAGATGTCTAAACAACACAGCCAGTTACTCTGCTTTATCCCAACCTTTTTTAGTCAACAGCTGTGGGTATCTGTGGTATGTGTGTGTATGAGTGTGAGTGTGTGTGTGAGTGTGTGTGTGTGTGTGTGTGTGTGTGTGTGTGTGTGTGCTCAAACCCAGGGTTTTGCACATGCTGGGCAAACACTCTACTACAAAGCTACATCTTCAGCCCAGAAAAAAAAAAATTATTTTATTTTATACGTATGAGTGTTTTGCCTGCACGTGAATATGTGTGCCATGTGCATGCCTGGTGCCTGTAAAGCTGGAGGAGGGCATTGGAACATCTGAAAGTGGCGTTTCAGAGGGGTGTGAGCCATGATGTGGCTGCTGGCAATCAAGCCTGGGTCCTGTGCAGGTGCAGCAAGTGTTCTGACTGCTAAGCCATCTCTCCTGGGAGGGTAGGTAAAAGGCTTTTCGTTAAAGGACCCGGAAGGAGACCAGATATCCCTTAGGAAGTGGTGGGCTATTGGCAAAGCAAACAAAATGCGCCCGAACAGACAGGATCCTGGAGCTCTGTGTAAGCTTATATTTGAGTGTGGTTGTTCCTTATGCTTTCCTCATGAAAATGCAAATCATATATCGAAGAAAGCAGTCAAAAGACGGCCATTGATGTCAGCCTCCCCATTTACATGAACTTCCCTTCAGATAATATTGCCTTTCCTAAAATGACATTCTGCCAGGCGTGGTAGCACACGCCTTTAATCCCAGCACTCGGGAGGCAGAGGCAGGTGGATCTCTGTAAATTTGAGGCCAGCCTGGTCTACAGAGTGAGTCCCAGGACAGCCAGGGCTACAGAGATACCCTATCTCGAAAATAAATAAATAAAATAAAATAATAAAAATGAGAAAGGAGCCGGGCAGTGGT